AAGTTGAAGGGGGCCAACATGATTTTATTCTGTACTTTTAACTACCACATTTGATATTTGATTTCACTCATAATTTGTTTTTTAAATATGTTGAATTTTACCTAATTTTTTTAATTTTACAGTATGATTAAAAAGTTGCAGCAATATTTAAATAAATATTTAGATTTTTCAAAATATAGTATTTTAAAGATATCAATTCATTTTATATTTTAAAACTCATTCAGTGTCAAAGTTAAAAAGTTACCAAAAACGAAAAATAATTTTTTTTGTTGGAGTTGTTTTGAAAACAGCGTTATTACTTAATTAAATCAATATTCAAACTCAATTTTTTTTGTAAACAAAATAGGTTGTGGCCAAATAAATACTGTGTTTGTAGTACAGTTGACTCTCTACAGAAAATAATAGTCCATATTTTTACCATTATTTTAGTGAGACCATAGCTTTACCCGGCTCTATTGTGTTGAATTATATTTATAAAACTTTTAATAGTAACCTCGGTCCATTCATCGATTGTTATGCTTAACTTTTCACCATATTTTTTCATAGCAGAAATTTTGTCAAACTTGCTTTTTTATCTTTTAGGGCAAGATCTTTAGTTTTGCTACTGTGGCTTGTGTAAGTGGATTTTTTTGGCATTAGGAAACCCTGCTTTAGTAAAAGCCTATGTATTGCATCAGATTTTTTAATCAACAATCAATTATCATCCTTGGTGGCATTTTGCATACAATTCAACCAAAGTTTATGACATTTTTGATTTTCAACTGACAATTTTTGATTTTTATATTTACACAGGCCTTGTTTTAAATAAAAAAGTGCTTAATGCATTAGCTTAACGCGATTTTGACGTCATAAAATTATCTTTATTTTTTTTTATAGACGTTAAGTGTTTTAACTACCGCAATAAATAAATAACCGCAAACTAGTTCAATTTAACAATTAACTCAAATATAAACTATAAACGTTTTGAATATAAATTTATTATGAAAATTTTGTAATGTTTTCAATTGTTATTTTATTATTAATTTTAATTCAATATTATTTAGTAATATATATATATATATATATATATATATATATATATATATATATATATATATATATATATATATATATATATATATATATATATATATATATATATATATATTAATTATTTCTGAAATTTGTTTTTGAATAATTGTTTTTAATCGTTATTGAATAAAAAATAATAATGATTTTTTTTATTTTTAAAAATTTCTAGAGTAAACAAAAAATATTAACATTGATAAACACAAACCCATGTTAATTATTTAAACAACAATTTTGTTTTGACTAGCAAAGAAAAGTTTTTAAATATTTTTAAAATTTTTAAAAGTGTTTCAACTTGCGTTTTATAAAAATATAAAAAAGTTTTGTCTGCTTTGAGCATATTTTTGATACGTAGTTTAGAACGCGTTCGCTAGGAATTTAATTCATAAATTTTTTATGTTATTGTAAAAATATTTAACTTTTTAAACAAATCACAAAGAAACAGAGCTATAGAGAAAAATCGTTTTCAACGATTAAATCTTTTTTTTTTTTAATTTTAGGAAATTAAAAAAAAAAATTAAATTAAATATAAAAGTCTTAATTATGCAAACTCTTTTGTTAATTATTCTTAAAACAAAAAAACAAATACTTCTACGCCAAACTTTAATTGTGCAAACTTAAAAAAATACTCAACTGAAATAATTTAAGTATATTTAATAATTTGAATCGTATCTGTTTATAATAAACGTTCGTAAAAATTTGTTTATTAAAAATTAAGTTCCTTAACTTATAAACAAACTCAAAAGTATTTTCATTCTACGTATAATTACAAAACTCTTTTTTTTTTTCGTTTGTAAGCAATTTAACTTAATAAAATAAAAAAAAGAATAAATATGAGGTAATCTTTGTTAAGAATAAATTTGATTTATTTATTGAACTATATTTTTATTTTTAATTATATATCAACTTAATTAAAATATAGTAACATGTTAAAATATTTTAGCATGACTTGTATTATTTATAAATTGTTGGGCAGTTGCCCTTACCGCACTATTGTTTTTGGATAATAATTTATTTTGATGAAGATCACACAACTTACATTTGGTTTTAATAACGTAAGTCTTCTCTTTTTCTGTGATCATCGCATCGGCAAAGCATCGGCAAAGTCCCAAGATTTAAAAGTTTTTAAAGTAAATCTTTTGTCCTTCAAAATACAATCCATATTTGAACTTTAAACAATTTAGAGATAATAGAAATATACAAGGTTTTTATATACTAGTTTGTTTTGTTTTATAAAGAAAAATACATATTCATTAGTAAAAAATGGAGACTGTCATTAAACTAAAACGTGTCTTAGTATTTATTTAACGGAACCTGTAATGTGCGCGTGCATAATAAAACCTCCGTTATATAAATATATTCAACGTAATATTAGTGTCATCAGCGGATGTTGTAGTCTACTCATGATTTCTTTACCTTATATTATAACTTGATTTATGAAAAAAAAAACTTATTGAATCGCACGCAGAAGAATTTTAACAAATTGTCTTTATTCAAATATTGCGAGTAACAGGTAATTTTTTTTTTCTGTGCCAACCCCCTCTCCTTGCATAACTTAAACTATATACTAATAAACTAATAAGAAAAGCAAAGACATTTTTTTTAACATTTCGAAAAAATGTCTTGATATTTTTGTTATCATGATAACAAAAATATTAAGACATTTTTTGAGATTTTATTTAAAAAAATGTCAATTCTTAATTACAAATTTTTTTGCAAATGTTTATTGTTTGCAAATGTTATAAATTCAGTAAAAAATTCATAAAAAATCTATATTACAAAAAACTTTTATATTCTGTATTAATAAATATGGAATATAGATTTTTTAAAAGTTTTTTACTAAAAACTTTAAAAAATTACTACTTTTTATTAAAAACATTGCAAAAAATTTGTAGTTAAGGATTGACAAACAATTTTTCATGTTGCTAAATATTTGGATAAAAAGTTTAGCGTCAAATTAATTGCTAAAGGAAAGATATATCGCGATGAAAAGTTACAACAATTATTTTTAAAGTAAATTCTTTTTTTTGATAAATACCTTTACATATCGTTATTTAAAAGTTAATGTGGTTTTTTTGAAAATTAATTACTTTTTTTATGTTACCGCTAATTTAAAAGTTAAAAAATGGTAAAAAGTAGCTTAACCAAAACAGCTCTACGCGTACGTAAAAAGCGCTTAAGGCGTATGTAAATCGCTCTAGGCGTAACGCTTTAAAACAAGGCCTGTTTACACCTATTTAAAACATGTACTACTAATTTTCCAACCTACTAAATCATTGACCTACTGTATTTTTGAACTGCTGAATTTTTAACCTACTGATTATTCAATCTACTGTATTTTCAATTTCATAACTTTGCCTTTATGGTATTTATTTTGTATATTTTGTTATTGATTTTAATATAAGCCAAATTTAATCAGCCTTGCTACAGTGTTTGAAGCGCTGTCTTCAGAATCAGGAGGTATAAGGTTCGATGAATGCTGGAAAAACTTATTGATTGTTAATTAAAAAAAAAAAAAATTTGTAGTTTAAAAAAAATAACGCTAAAAACACAGACTAGATAATCGGTTAAAAATTAATTTATCTCAAATCGGTTGAAAAAGAAAATCTATGAAATATGTCAAAAAATTAATCGGTTGAAAATAAATTTATTATTTTCAACCGATTTATTTTTTAATCAACAATTTTGGCCTCAGTAGGTTACCTGAAAATTAGTTCCACTTTTTAGTAGATGTTCTTTTTGTAGAATAACTTAGTAAGTCGAGATTTGTATAGGTCTAACTATCTGTCACGTTTTGAATTATAGTGCTTTTTTAAGTTATATTCTTTGCGCACTGAAACAGATTCATTATTAGAAATACATGCACCAAATTAAATTCACTGAAAAAGCATTTTGTTTGCCATTCAATGTTAAATACTTAACATTCTTTATCTTTGTTAATTTGAAGAATTTGCTGTTTTGGCTGAACTTGTAAATTTTAAATAATAATTACAAATAAATTTTTCAAATTTAAAAGATTTTCTAAATACTAAAGACTAAAAGTTAGAGAATTATTTCATAGAGAAGTATTTTATAAAAAAAATTGTAAATATTTCTTTGTATATTAATCTCTGCTAGTTATATTATTAATAAAAATTTATAAAACTTAAGGGACATACAAATGGTGGTTGAAGACTGAATGCAGCCTGGGGGCCTTATTGTGGCCACCCCTGATGTAACATAAAGTGGAAACTCAACATTGAAAACTGGAGAAACGTCTAGTCATGTTAAATACAAAACTAATAAATAAAATTCATCAAGTTTAACTAAATAAAAATAAAAAGCTTCAAAACTTTATACAAACTTAACAAACTTAAGCAAAGTTAAAATAAACAATCCATAAACTGAAAAGAGAACGAAATTAAAAAAAAAAAAAAAAAAAATTAAATTAAAATAGAAATTTTAAAGAATAATAAAATAAATAGAAGAAAAACTAGAACAAATTAAAGCATTATTAAATGCATTATTTAACCTAATTGTAAGTGAATATTAAAAAAAATTATAACAACTCTATCAATCCCTCCCATGAATAAATAGGCCAATACAAGGGCAGATCCATAGTGAGGGGGAAAGTTATAAGAGCACTTGCCCCCTTCCTCTCGTAATATTTTTTATTTTTTTAATGAATTTTTTATGTAGTTTATTAAATAAAAGTTTGATAAAATGCTTGTTGCCAAACCTTCAAGACCAAAAAAATTTATTTCTATAAATAAGTGAAAACTAATTTTAATGATTTTTTCAAGAATCCGAAAAGACTAAAGAAAAAATACAAAAATTTATTTGTCTTTCAAGTTGTTTTTGTTTGTCCCATTAGATAAACTTTTTAAAACCATAAGATAAACCATAAAAAATACTTTTTTTTCTATATTTTTACTCTTTTAAGCCTGTTTTAGATAAATCTTCTTCAGAATCAGAATCTTCACCAGAATCATTGTCAGAATCTTCACCAGAATCCAATCACATTGTTCAGCATAAAAAAGAAAATGAATACAAACAGACTAACAACTCAATCTATTTAAAATGGAAAGAAATACCTAAAAAACGGTTTGTTTGTTATTTTTTGTTCCTTTTTTTTTTTTTTTTTTTTTTTTTTTTTGATTTCAAGATTTCAAGCAGCTAGTAGCAATGGTAGTTGTTGTATAGTTTTGCAAAGCTGCAAGCAACCACTATTAGAGTTGAAAGTTATTGGGAGAGAAAAGATAAAGTTTATAGAGCAAGATAGCAATTGACAGACGGCTTGAAAGATTGCAAATTATATGAATCAGGAAAACAAAATGAAGCAAGCAAATTCCAAAGAACTGGTATTCGAGGAAAAAAAACTAGGTAAATAAGAGTTTTGGTGCTTTTGCAGTCAACCATTGAGGTTGGCTGCAAAAGCACGTCCAATTATGTTTACAATGCATTTTTCCATCTTGTCTAAAAGAGAAAAAGCATCATTTGAAGATGCCTCAGATATGGCAACAGTATTCCATACAAGGGCGGATTTGAGATTTATAGAGATAAAGGATATAATCCGGAGTAAGAAAGCGGCGAACATGATAAAAAGAAGCAACCTTAGCAGGTGCTAATTTTGCAATGGATTTGATATATAGTGTCTGAGAAAGATCGGAAGTAAGAGTTAATCCTAGAAAATGATAGGTAGATGACTCATCAAGTACATTACCATACATATATATCGGAAGATCTAAATTATTATCTAATTTATAACGATTAGCTGAAAAAATTGGGTCTTACCTGAATTAAAGTTCATCAGCCACTGTGAGCCTCATGCTGTAGTAGAAGTAAGATGTCAAAATCTTCAACAAAAAAGATGTATATATTGAATAAGATGTCAAAATCTTCAACGATAATGGTTTCTTCTACATTAGTCAAATGTGATTGGCTGTAACATTTTTCTAAAAATACTTTTCAGTTAAATGTACTTTTAATTGTCTCTCAGTTAAAAAAAGGTTATTTGATATGTTTTTCCATAAGCAAGCTTAAGTTTTTAGTTCATTCAGTTTTTTTCTTCATCAGTTGGTTCAGCAGTTGATTGCATTTTTATATATGTTGTTGTGTTTTACATTAGACTTCTGCAGCACCCAACAAGTTTTTAACACTGTATTTTGAGTAAAGTTTTTTTAATAAAAAAAACTTTACTCAAAATAATAAAATAATAAATTTTTAAATTCATATTCTTTGTTTTAGTTTGAAAGTCCATGTTGCACCAGAGCAATGTCAAAAAAACAGAAAAAATAAAGATAGAAGCAATAATAAAAACAATCATCCAATAATAAACAAGGAAGAACTTACACCTAAGCAAGGTAAATTTCTTTTTATATTTTCTATGAATTAGTTTTGTTTCTTGTTCTCAAAATGTAAAATACTGTAAAATAAACTTTTATTTATCAATTTTTTTTTTAATTTTTTTTTTTTTATTTAATTCATTTTTCTTTAATTTTCATTGTGTTAAGAAATCATTTATTTTGAATTCAATTAAAACACAAATACTAATCTACACTGAATCATTCATTACACAATAGTTAAATTTAACTATGAATCATTTGCTATGCACTGGATATATTCATACCACCCTCCACCCAGACAAACAACAACAACATAAATATATATATATATATATTTTTTTTTTTTTTTTTTTTTTTTTTTTTTTTTCTTTCTCAAAATTAAAAAAAATATATTAAATGATTACATAGTCCAATAAAATGAGTTTACGAGTTTTCAATAGAAGTTTTGAAATTTTGATATTTATTTTACACATTTTAATAAAATAATAAATTAAGTTTATTTAAGATGAAAATACTAATTCAACTTTTTTTCTATGTTTGCTTTTCTTTGATTTTCAGAATAATAGAAAAATGATGTAATATAATAATAATATTAATAACAATGGGGTATATAGTATTAATAGTAATAATATATAAATAATAAAATAACACATTATAAAATGCTTTTTTGACTTAATAGGTTTTGTGCATTAAACTATTTATTACTAATATTTACTTAATAAGTCAATACTTAGAATTATACAACATTTGGGCACAATTAGGATTATACCAAATGCTCTATTGGGTTATCACTTGGTTGCGGTTGTGAAATTTTAAAACATTTGTAAACAAAAGAAGATTACAGCAATAACTTTTATTCGTCTTATAAAAGATATTTAGATGCCATGCAAGTCTTATAAAAGGTATGTAGATGCCATGCAAGTCTTATAAAAGATATGTAGATGCCATGCAAGTCTTATAAAAGATATGTAGATGCCAAGCAAGTCTTATAAAATATATGTTGATAACAGCCATGCAAGATTTAATTTGCTAGAAAAATTCATTGTCCCTTAAGTTGATTCAACAAAGACCTATGTTCTGGAAAAAAAAGGAAAGGGCTTTTTAGGTATAACAATAATAATTACAAATTATGGCAGTAATGAAGGTACTAAATACAATACTGAAGTCCTGTTCATTGCGCAATTACAAGCTATGACTGGAGGTTTATTATAATAGCTTAAAAAAATGCTTTAAAGATTTTTAATTGCAATAGTTTCTGGAGTGTTTAAAAGTAATTGTATGAAGAGCCGTAGCTTTTGGATTTTTTAAAAGTTAATGTATGTAGAGTCATAAAAATTTCTTTTTAAAATACCTGAAAAGATGATAGTAATAAATTATTTTGCTTAAAGAATAGAGAGTTAACAGCAAAAGCTTAAAAACAAAAACTGTATAGTTGTAAGTAACAATAAAACTCAAATGTCATCTGAAGCTATGATTAAAATTAACAAAAGAATATAAAAGTTATTACAGCTCTTTAAAATTCTTTGCAGTAATAAATTCAAATTTTTACCATTTCACATTTTAGTGTATATATACTTACATATCCGGTGGGATGAATATTGGAAAAACAAAAAAAAAAAGGAATTTAAAAAAAAAGGTATTGATCACCAAGTAAACAACATGAAATGCAAATAATATGCTTTTGGAGTGGCAGCAAAAAGTACAGCAAAAATTGAAACAGTATATTTATGTAGATGCATCTCAAAGCAACTGAAATTAATTCCTAATTTAATTGAAAGAACAATAAAAGAACACTTGGGATTAACTATGCACAAATGTATCTTGAAACACTTCTTGTGTTTTCTCAATATACATTTGTGCTTTTGAGGAGAAACATATTTAATGACATAACAGCTTTTTATATTTGAAAAAATATTTTTTATTTATTTTTATTGTTGTTTTATTTTATTTCTGAAGATCAAATTAAAATATTAAACAGACAAAAAAATATTACTTACTTTTACGTTTTAACTTAGTAAATAAATCTAAGAAAGTATGTTGCACTGTTTGTGTATTAGCTTGAAAATTACTTATTAGTTTATTTAATTTAATATATTGGCTTGAGTTTAACCCTGTTTTATTTACCTCTTTTCCTATTTTTCCCCTCTTCATTTGTTTGTTTGGTTTTGTTTTATTCACTTGGTGTATGGTTTAAGTTCTTTAACTTTTAATTTTTGATTTTGATTCAATTTTATTTATTTATATCATAACTTTTTAAATCTTTAATATCTCTAAAAGCTTAAATTTAAGTATTATTAAATAAACTAAAACAAGGGTAACATTGTTATTGAGCCTTTGTTTTTTTTTAAGGTTCTATTTCTATGCCATTGGTTTGGAGTCATCAGTCTTTTGATATAAATAGTGAAATTGCTTACAATCGGTTTGTTAGCTCTTCTGCTGTTAAATGTGCTGTTTGCATTTATTTTAGTCAAAATGATGTAAGTATGCATAATTATGTGCTGTTTGTATTTTTTGGTCAAAATTGTGTTGTATTTTATTATTATAAGTATGCATTTCAGAAAAAATGATTTAAAGGGATCCCAAACTCCCAACACATGTCGTGTTCATATTAAATATAATATTAAAAAAAAAGGTTTGAACCAAATTTTTTTGATTAAAAATAAATAATGAATGCATACCATGAAAAATAAATGTTGTTGTTTTTGCCAAAGCTCGTCTTCTCCATTTTTTCCAACTACTCGGAGTCTTCAAATTATCCGTTGCAATCTACAGACTTTGGCAATTCCTTTGAAGCGCGTTTAATTCATAAAAGTTTTAGTATTTGACGTCACGGTAGACTTTTAACAAAAGAAAAGTGTATTTAAACTAAGCTGCGTTTTTCTACTGTAGTATTTTTTTAACATACAGCAAAACAAATTTGTTTGTATTATTTTTCCAAACATCGCAAAAAAAAATTTGTAAAAAGTAAAAACAATAAATTATTTTTATTTTATAGGAGCAACTTATTTTTTACAGATATCTTAATAATTTTTAGATTTATACATCTTACTTATATTTCTTTAATTATTTAAATTAAAACAAATATTAAAGCTTTACTTACCAATCTCATGATTTTCATACGAGTATTTTACATTGTATAGAACGTTTTATATACGGTCTCTTGTTTTTGCGCAAGAGAGCGCAGTATTATATATTCTGATTCTTAATTATTTTTATTTAAACAATGGGAACTATTTTCTAACTTCTCTGGTTATTTTTACGCTATGACAATTTTTTGTTTTCCCGTCGAAAAAAAGTATTTATTAACAATTACTTTCATAAACTGACAGTATTAATTAGAGATATTTAATGAATCGTTAACTTTTTTTATTATAAATTTTTTTTGATCACACTGATTTAATTTAAATTGCTAAATTTGCTGAATTGGATACGGATAAAAAGGAAATACTATTTTATTTTACATTTGATTTTTGATAATGAAATTTTTAAAGTGTCAGCAACTCTATACCAATTAGAACCTGTTAAGATTATGAAAAAAAAGTTCAAGAATACACTAAACAATACAGTTGACAGTAGTATCAGATATGAAAATTCGTGAAAGGATTTGTGAGATCCTGATTTTGCATTAAAAGTACAATTAATTGCAATACAAGTCGGCATAAGAAATTTTGATTATAAGTTTACTGTTCAATATTTTATAACCATCAAATAAAAAACATAAAGTTTGTATATTTTCGCCCGTTTTATACAACTAATATTTAACAAAAATACGGACAAATTATTATTAAATAACGCAATAATTAACACATTAATTAAAGGCAATAATTCAAGATAGATGGTAATTTAAATTGTTAAAATGTCATAACGCGCATTAAAAAACATATTATATTTGGTATTTCCAAATTTGTGTCGTAATTGGCATTTGTCTATTAAAATGAAAAAAAATTTTAAAAACACAATTAACAAATACAAATTTTCAAGCAATTTTCTCTTCCAATTCTCACTTATTCAAAGAAAATTTACTATTAAACTTTTATTTCTCTCATCTAAAAAAAGAATGAGTGAAGCAAAAAAAATATATATTCTATACAACTCTTATTCATTCAAAGTTTAATTGCGCGAAACTTTTCTTTCTCTTTTGTTCTACTCTTTTATAAAAAGAGCGCCCGATGAAATAAAAACTTTTTTTAACATATAATTATAGTTTGAGATAAAATTAAATTAGAAATAAATCAACAATGAGCAAAGCAACGAACAGATTAATCTGGAACTATTTTGATATTTATGAAAATAATCAACATAAACAACATTACCAACAACAATTATCAAATAAACAACACAATCTCGCATAATTTTAGGGGCATTTTATTTTTATTACTTAGTCGTTCTAAATAATAAGTAAATTTAGTTCAAGTTAATAATTCAATATTTACGGTTGCAATAGAATAAAGAAATGGTGTTTAATACTGAACTTTTTATTTAGTTATTTATTTTTTTACCTACATTTGTTATAAAAAACTTTAGAACCCCCGTCATTAAAATAATTTGTTTTAAATATATTTGGACGTGATTATTCAAACTAATTTTTTTCGTTTGACTTTCCGAACTTCATGCAAAGCAAATTGAAACGAAATATTGTCTAACCAAATAAAAAAGCTGTTACTAATTTTATACGGGTAATTAATGTAAAACAATTTTTGAGATAATAAATATTCATAATTTATAAACATTAAATATATGGCGCAATAACAACGAACCAGCATAAAATATTTAAGGTTTTTAATATCTTTTTAAATATTGAAAGTAGAAAAAAAAAAAAAAAACTAAACAAATAATCAAAAAAATTTCGACTAAAAATAAATAAAAATATTTCTAGAGTGTAATTTATTAAAAGTCTACCGTGACGTCAAATACTAAAACTTTTATGAATTAAACGCGCTTCAAAGGAATTGCCAAAGTCTGTAGATTGCGACGCATAATGTGATGACTCCGAGTAGTTGAAAAAAATGGAGAAGACGAGCTTCGGCAAAAACAACAACATTTGTTTTTCACGGTATGCATTCATTATTTATTTTTAATCAAAAAAATTTGGTTCAAACCTTTTTTTTTAACATTATCTTTAATATGAACACAACATGTGTTGGGAGTATGGGATCCCTTTAAGTGTGAACACTTTTTGTGTATATTTATGTCTTGTTTTAGCAAAAATAATTGATTTTATATATTTGTATATATTTAATTGCTTTAAAATACATATTTTTGAACTATTCATGTAAGCAAATATCTGTGTTAACTATGCAGATTTCATATTTGTTGACTTTTTTGCCCATCATTCTTTCTAAAGAAAATTAAAGTATTTCAAAAACCCCAAGTTTTTTAAAAAACATCTACTAATCAAGGGCTAGTGATTCTGCAGTCTACAATAGAGACACACAATATGACACAACCAATATAGATTATGCTTTATAATACATAAAAGTAAGTTAAAGCAACAATGCAAGGAAAGGTGCCCCATGGGATGGTTTATGCAACTAAAGCAAGTTATTACAGCTCACATTTGTAATACATTACACATAAACAAATCTCCAAAATTCAAGTTACTTTAGATATAACTTAACACAGGTCCTTTCTTTATTATCTTACACTAAAAGTGTTTGTAAATATTTGTGTTTTTTTATAAAAAAAATTCCCCCATAATGCAAAAAAGCACCTTTTATGATAATAGGTCTTTTTAATATAAGGTTCTGTAATTCTAAAAATTTCTAAATGCTTAAAAAATTCTAAATGTTTTGATTTTTCAGTTTTTACATAAATCTTAGTTCTTGTTTTTACTGTGGCAATAACTTTGCATCCAAAATTCATCCAGATTTCTCTAAAGAAACCAAATAAGTGAGCCTCACTATGACAACTAGTGATTTAGATTACTAAATAGCGATTCTACAATATTTAATCGCTCACTCCTTATGGCCACTTACTTACCTAGCGATTCTACTATCACTAAACTATTTAGTAATCTAAATCAGTTTTTTTTGCCTTTGCCTTCTCAAAATGAACTAAATGAACTGCTTTGGAAAGTTTTCTTGTTTTTGTTTATATCACTGGTATCACTGCTTAATTTATACATCTCAACCTAATAATATATAAATAATTAAATATTTTTTTAATAAAATTTAAAAATTACATTTAAAAAAATGTACTTACATATTAAAATATAACTTTTTAAATTTATAACTATTGTAGACTGCAGAATCACTTGCCCTTGATTTGTAGACGTTTTTCTAAAAAACTTTGGGTTTTTGAAATTTTTTAATTTTCTTTTAAAAGAATGATGGGACAAAAAATTCAAAAAAAGAAAGAAAGTGGTCTATGGCGGCATTTTTAAAACTAAATCAAATTATATATAATTTCAATCACTAAAAACATATGCATATATTTTTTTGTTTAAACTTCTTTGCTGCAAACAACTATCAGAGTTGGAAGTTACTAGAAGAGGAAAGATGAAGTTTATAGAGCAAGATAACAATTGACTGACCACTTAAAAGATTGTAAATTATATGAATCAGTAAAAACTTAAACTTCTTTGCTGCAAACAACTATCAGAGTTGGAAGTTACTAGAAGAGGAAAGATGAAGTTTATAGAGCAAGATAACAATTGACTGACCACTTAAAAGATTGTAAATTATATGAATCAGTAAAGATGAAGGAAGTGAATTCCAAAGAACTGATGTTCAAGGAAAGAAACTAGACCAATAAGAGTTTTTAGAGCACTTAGGAACAGTAACAGAAAAAAGATGAGACTTAATTGAATGACAAGTAACACAAGATTGATTTTTAGTAGATGGCGCAAGAGACGTTAGCTCTTTAGAGCTAACGTCTGCTGTCTGTTGTAGCATCTTTAGAAAAGAGAAAGAGAAGCAACATTATGACGATGTGATAATGGTTGGAGATTACCTGCAAGAGCAGATCCAACTATGTTCACAAACCGGTCCCTGCACCCTGTCCAAAAGAGAAAGGGCATCATTGGAAGATCCGCCCCAGATATGTCAACAGTATTCCATACAAGGACGAATTTGAGGTTTATAGAGAGAAATTCTGATGAAGAAAGTAACGAGCATGATAAAGAGATGCAACCTAAGACAGCAGATTAAAAAGAGTGTAGGGCCAAGGATAGAATCTTGAGGAACCCCTAAAATTACAGGATATGAAGAAGAGTACTGCCTCGAGGACAACAATTAAAAAATAGGTCATGTCAAAACTTTGATAAGAGCCCCAGCTTATGATTTGCCCTGACCCCAAAATTAGTACGTAAAATTTTTTACGAAAATTTTTTTGAGCATCAGAAAGGTCCTCACAGAAGGCAAAAGGTCGATTTTTGCCCCTTTTTTAGGAAAGTTTTGCCCTGTTTGTGAGACCCTTAAATCCCAACTAATTTAAAAATTGAACTATCTAATAACATGGTAATGAGTTCTTTTAGTTAAGTTTTAGAGGCTCCTTTCATAATTATTTATTTAGGTAACTTTAAGAGCGGTAAAAAAACATTGAAAATCACCAAAATAATATAATATTTGTTTAAAAAAAATAAACGCTACGTTTTTTTTATAAACATTAAAAAGTAATAGTACCAGTTCAAAACAAAAATAAAAAAATTACAATTGTTTCAAAACAAATTGAATCAAAAAGTTGATATTAGAAAATACTATTTAGTGCAGCTTCGGCATGATCCAACTTTTTTCTTCCATTTCAATTTCTCTTGTATACATGAGTAAAAAAAAATGTATCTTGACTTTTCTCTTCGAAGTGTACTTTGTTAACAAGTTGTTGAACTAACTTGACTGTTCTCTCAGAAAATCATTCACAACATCAAGATTCATAACGGCAGTTTCAAAATCTTGATAAAAATCATTTAAAATCCAATTCTCTGGAGGAAGCTACATCCATTGAATCTCAGTTTTTCTAAAACCAAGCATGTCAAACACAAGCCATTACTTCTTTATAATTAGTAAATAAACTGGGAGGTAACTAAACTGGGAGGCTCATGCTGTGAAAAGTTTAGACTCATTAGAGTGTCTTTATCCAACACCTGTCTTTCTAAGGAATATTCTTCTATGGGACCTTGTTTTAGACTAATAAGTCTCTTAGTCATGTCGCCATGTTCTTGACATTTCTTATCTGCAATTGCTAAAATGACTAAATATGGATCAAGGTACCAAGTATGGTGTTGTATGGATTTAGAAACAGCTTGAGCGCCAGCTTTATTCCATTTCTCAAATCTTTTCATGTCCTAAAAGTTAAAGCTTAGATTTATCAATGTTTAACTTATAAAAATAATATGCCCATTTTATGCATTTATTAAAAGTTATATATTTATTTTTAAACTACTGTTCAGATAGTGTACCTGTGTAGGAGCAGCTGAACTTAACTTGGCTCTGAGAAACCACTTAGTGTAAAAAATAGAAAGAAACTTTATCATTTCTGTGATTTCATCCCTGCTCTCTTCATTGATTTCAGGAATATTTTCCATGAATAGAAATAGTTTTAAGTACAATAAACTTTTACCCATAAATCTGGCATGATGAACAGCTCCAGGATTGTGAAGTTTGAATCTGTCGTTGGGTGATAGTACTATCAAAGTAAGTTTAGCCAATTCTTGATAATTTTTATGATAACTTAATTAACTGACAATTAATGATAACTTAATTAACTTAAAGTATAGATAAAACTGGAAAATTTTAAGTGAAATACTATTTTATTTATGAAGGTTTTAATAAAACTATTTATTACTCTCACCTTTTTAAAAAACTAACTTTTTTATATATCTGCAAAATTTAATTGCATTTAGCTTTTGTTCATTAATCCAGGAGCCAATTGGAGTTGATAATCTTTTCAAATCTTGCTTTTCAGTATCTAGATCATTCCAATGGTTTTTAAGAAATTTGAATAATTTATTTTCTGGCCCTGAAGTATGACTGCTTAGATAAAGCTCCCAAAAATGGGTAACATAATGCTCATAAATATGATGTCGACATGCAGTTAACAACATAGGGCACTGTAAAGCGCATAATTATTCTGCTACAAGCTCCTTTTATTTTACCTGTCTTAATGCTAGTAGTCTCAAAGCAAAAACACCGAACTTTATGATGTAATCCAAATTTAAAAATGAGTTTTTCTGTAGCTTCTTTTTGGTGTTCTCCAGAACCGGAGTCAATAGCTGGAACTCCAAGTAACTTGGTTTGTCCTTTAATCCTAGCAAGAACAGCTAACCTATCTTTTGAAAACTGTTTTCCTTCAGTAAGGTCTTTGATAATTCTTCCATCAAAATGATTTTTTATTAAAGAATTTGAAGGTTTAGAAATTTTTTATATGTGGTCTCTGATTTTATTTGCACCCATAAACACAGTGTTCTCTGCTGCTCTGTATGAAGATGAGTTTGACCATACAAAGTCAATACAGACGTACATCCTCCAGAATTGGCTATAATACTGCTAAGAATCACTGTGTGTTGATGTGGAGTTAAACCCTCTCCAGCTGCTGTGTGTGCAGTACAGTACAAGATATCCTTGGGTAGGTTGACAGAACTAGGATCAATATGTGACTCAATTTCAAAATCACTATCAGTTGAAATACTTTTATTAGTATTAAAAGAACTTGATGAAGTTTCAGAATCTGCATCAGATACATTTTCTAACTTAATATAATTACATTTAGATTTATGCTTTCTTTTTATCAAGTACTGAAATCTTTTATCCAAACCCCCTAACCTTGCTTTCCTTTCCTTTAACTGGTCTTTAAGAAAAGCTATGTCTTCCTATTTCAATACAATAAAAACCCAATAAACATTCAATCATGTTTATTGGGTTTTTTCCAATCCAGAAAACCTTGTTCATATTTTCAATAAAGTTTTTTCTCTTTTCCACTTCAGCAGGGTTCTTTTACTTAAGCTTTTCAGCTTCATTCAGTCCTTCACCATTTTTTCTACCTTTATCCTATAAAATGAAATTATTATTATTAGGTGCTTAAAATAACTTGAAAATATATTTTTGTCTTTTTATAAGTTATAAAGTTTGATCTATTATTACATAAGCTTCTGGACTGTTATGACTTCAAAGCCACCACGTGTCCATGCAGCAACAAGCTTAAATATTATGCAGCAATATAACTGACTGGTAAGACAGTTTGGTGAGAATGATCCACTTTTGTTTGGGCATCCAACAATAAAACTCAGTTTAACTTCAGGTCTAGATTTCCTCAGAAAGTTGTAGCACTGAAGAATTTCTTGTGTAGTTGCAAACTTTTTGTTGGGAATAGTACAATTTATTTTTCCCACAAGGAATGTTTCATAAATTATTTTCACTTTCTTTTTGAACGGCATCTTATAAATTATTATTATTTTATGTTGAACTAAATTTAAATGTTTAAATATTTGTATGTTAGGTAAATAAATCATCAATTTAAATTTTAATTTTGAAAACAATTTTTCTCTCTCTATTTTATTTAAAATCTTTTTTATTCTTTACACAAAATAAACTTTATCAAAAAATTATCTTTTTGAATATAAAATTATTTAAAACCCTAAAATATAAGATATTTTGATACTAAAAACCAGCTTTTTGTTGAAAATAAACAAATACCTAAATATGAATTAAAAAAAGAGATCTTTAAACTTAAGTTTTAGAACTTATCACCATGTTGATGGATAATTTATTTTTTAAGTTGGTTGAGATTTAAGGGTCCAACAAGCAACAAGTTTTCCTAAAAAATGGGTAAAAATTGACCCTTTTGCTCTCTGGGGAGCTTTCCAATACTCAAAAAAAAATTTGTAAAAAATTTTAAGTACTAACTTGGGGTCAGAGCAGATCATAAGCTGGAGCTCTTATCAAAGTTTTAAAATGACCTATTTTTTAAATAACCCTAACATATATATATATATATATATATATATATATATATATATATATATATATATATATATATATATATATATATATATATATATATATATATATATATATATATATATATATATATATATATATATATACATCAAAACCCCTTAGTTGGTTTATGCACACTCTGTGCGTATCCTTAGATAATCAGTCTATGTATGTACACTCTGCTGCATCAATGTCTAAAAAAATTATTAAAATAAAAATTAAATAATAATAGTATTATAAAGTAACATAAAAACAATACGAAATCACTTCAATTCACATAATAACACATGGCTTTCTATTATGTGGCAGCTCTGATTGCATTCTGTGCATTGGTTATACAATCCCATGATGATCAATTTTGAAAATTAAGTCAAAAGTTTTCACTATAACTATATAACATAATTATGCTGCATAATTAATATAGTTAATTTGATTTAAAAAAATGCTATTACTCATATGAGGAAGTTTGTGATTTTTTTTACAGTCAAAATAATATAAACACACTTTTATCTTTTAGCCAAAGCAATGTAATTATTTTTTTTTTTTTTTGGTTTAAATCGTGATAATGAAAGTTTGTAAAGTTTGTGTTTGTTATAGCAAATAAGACTATACTCAGATTTGCTACGAAATTCTATAACAGAAATTTTTTTCCAATTATTATTTTTTAACAATATTTATTTATTACATTTTATTTGTTGCATTAATTTAAAAGTTTGACTTTCTTTAATAGTTTATAAAAACTTTTTTTTATCATTTTAATTTCTTGTTTTAGTCAGAGAGTCTATTAACGGGTATTTCAAACCAAACCACTGAAAAGAACATATTAGTAACAGAGTTATGTTATACAAAAAATCCATCCATAAAAATGAATAGAGAAGTTTCTTTTGACTATATATTTGGTGAAAAAGAATCAAGACATTCAGTGTTGCTTGAATGCAGTGAATGCTTTCTTAGGGTTCATAACAGTGAGTTTTATTTTTTCATCAAATTTCATTTTTATTTTATCAATTTAGGCACTAAGAAATTGTAAAATTTGAAAAAACTTTACACAACTGTTTATCTGTATCTTTTTTTATCTAGTGTAATGTCAAATTTATAAAGGCTTGTGTATTTTATTTGTTGAAATTAAATAGTTAAATTTTTAAAGAATTTTTTTTTTTTTTTTTTGGTGATATGAAAAGAATACAAGTAGTGCAACTTTTTTTTTAAACTTTCGAACCTTACTTTAGTTACTTTCAGTTTCCATCAACTTGATTGATTAACAGAAGAGTAAATTGATCAGATTTTTTTTTATCACATAACTTTTTTTGTTACATTATATTAATAAAAAATAAAGTAGACATTTTTTACTCTGTAAAAATTGTTTTTAAGTTAAATTTGTGTCAGGATGTTATATTAAAACATGTCATTTTAAAAATACTTTCCTATGTTTTTTAGAATTTAATTTTGAAAAATTATTAATCTTAATAAAATTATGATAATAAAAAATTATTAAAATTTTATATCTAAAATATCCCCCTGCATAGCCTTCACGCAGCCTACGTGTCTTTTTTGCATTGATTAATTAAAATTTGTTGCAAGATCAGAACTACTTATAAAGCTACTTATAAACCTTATTTTGACCTTTCTTTCCCCATTGTAACCAAATGGAGTCAAGTGGATTCAAATCTTTAGGTTGAGCTGACCAGGGTGTCAAATTTAGTTCATTTTATTTCATCAATACTTTGACAATGAGCTGTATGTGTAGGAACCAATATTGTTAAAACTGACACCATTTGTTATTCTAATCAAATAGTATGTCTAGTAGAACCGTAAATTTTTCTTGGATTACTATATATATGTATGATGATTGATTTGATGTTGATTTTTGTTATACTAATAAAATTATCCCCCTCCGCCACTTGTCAGTTTGGTAAAAACAAACTTTATATTTAAATCTTTTAACAAGGATTTTTTTTTATCTATTAAAGTTATTTTTATTAAAGTTTCCACTTTTCCCAAGACCACAAAGTCTTCTTATCTCACTAGCTTATTTTTTTGCACTAATCTAAGAAATATCGGTGATCTGATAAACACCAGTATTTTTTTATCAAATTGTATTTAAAGAAATCAAAGTTTTCGAAGTTTTTTGCTGGAGGTATTGGTATATTCATGATTGCTTTGAAATTCATATTTATATTTTCGATTTTCAGATCCTGAATAACATGAATGCCAACTGTTGTTTTAAATTTTTGTTAATGATTTTTTGTATTGAATGCATTTTGTCTGATATATATATATATATATATATATATATATATATATATATATATATATATATATATATATATATATATATATATATATATATATATATTTATTTATTTTGTTAAGTTTGTTATGGTGTGGAAAAAGCAGATAGTGAATGGGTTTGTGATAAATGTTCTTTTTTAAAACAACAAGCAATATCTACAATAAATGCAACATTAAATTTGAATGATGTTTATAAAAAGTTTGATACTGTATTTCAAAACAGTATAGATGAAAAGAATATATGTTGTTGCTTATGCAACTTAAAAGGGGGTGCATTAAAAAGAACTACAGATGGTGCATGGTGTCATATTGTTTGTGCAATAGCTTTTCCAGATGTTACATTCAGTAACATTACTACCAGAGGTCCAATAAACATATCCAACTTGGATCCTGCAAGAAAAAAGTTAGTAAGTAACTTTATCTTATAATAAAGGTTTTTTCTAATGGTATTTGCAGGTTGTGATTGCATTAATGTTATACATTGGTTTAATTTATGATTTTTACAACATGTGTAAAGGTTTAAAAATAATATAAAAAATGGTTGCCTGGTTGTCTCAAATGTAACTAAGATCTTATTTTATAATGAATATAAGGTTTAATATTATTATTTTATAAAACCAAAAAAATTGTTTTTTGAAATAAATTTATTTTTAATAAGAATATATGTAAAAATAATTATCTATTGTATAATTTGTGTTTAGTTTATATTTTAATATGTAAGAGTAATTATCTATTGTATAATTTGAATGTGTTTAGTTTATATTTTAACGTACTTTGACATTTTTTATTGTGTTTTTTTTTTTATATATATTTGTCCAATTAATTTACCAATTTTTTTTTTTTTTGATTTTTTGAATTTGATTTTATTGTTGTTTTTAATTGTTTTAATTGTTATTTTAGTTTGAAAAATAATGAAAAGAATAATTTTAGAAAATTTTAATTTTTTCTATTAATTTATAATTATGTAAATTATGAAAGAATTTTATTCAGTCATTTGAGTCAGTCATTTTTAAAATCAATTACTTTTATTTAGTTTGTTTTTTTAGAAATGTCTGTATTGTAGTCAACATAGTAGTTCAATGAAGCATATGGGTGCTTGTCTTCAATGTAAATGTAGGAAATGTGCAGTATCTTTTCATGTTACTTGTAGCTTTCATTACGGAATAGCTTTAAGATTTGGTGATTGGCCAACTCTTATTGAAGTTGTATGTCCAAAACATGCTAGACAAAAACTACAAACGGTAAGTCTTGAGTTTTGAACAAGTTTTTGCTTTTTTTTAAAAAAAAATTAGAAGTTTCTCTGAATTACTTTATGTATTCACATGTCAGGTATCAGAAATAAAGGAACGACCCCCTGTTGTCGAAGGAGATTTTGTTTTGGCAAAGCATAAAAATGGAAGGTAGTTTGTTTTTTTTTTCCCTCAATTGTCACACTTTGAGAAAAAACCAGACAGACCAAACTTGATGAAAAAGGAAAGTTTAAGCTTTTTAAAACAGTTTGAATATTTCAATCAATATTTATAGACACTCAGAATTTTTTTTTCTTGAATGCAAAATGCAAAATAAATGCTTAGATGCAAAATGCAAAAATGTGGCTTCCAAAACATTAGCAACTTTTTTATAACTACTCTAAAAAATACTAAAATCAATACTTAATGGCATATGCTTTACTTTTTTATGATCATGGAACATCTTCTTGGCATATACTCTATGAGTTTTTTAATTTTTTCTTGTGAAATCTTATTAATCACGTAGTTTCAATAGCTTTATATAGCTCATAAGCATTTTTGCAAATTCAATTCTAGCTTTTCACTAGAATTGAATTTGCTGTCTCAAATACAAATTCAATTCTAGCTTTTCACTAGAATTGAATTTGCTAATCTCAAAATACAAACTGTATTTTGAGACATGGAAAGTTTCAGTTTTTTTGATGATATCATTAGCACTGTCAAAAGGATTCTTTTTAACACGACGAATAGTTTACGGTTATTTGACATACAGTTGACTTGTTAATTGAGTATTTTGTTGCAATTTCTTTTCGTTTGACTCCTTTTTTAAAATCTTTTACAATAGGTTCTCAAAAAGTTAATTTATACTTGTTTCTTGCCATTATAAAATTTAAAACAGCATAAATACACAATCGCAAATTAATATTTTAATGATTGCAACACTCCATTTTTCTCTCTGGACAAAAATTAACAATTAGTCGATTCTCATTGGATAAGTAACAATTAAGTAAAATTAACTATTAGTCAATTCTCATTGGATAAGTAACAATTAAGTAAAATTAACAATTAGTCAATTCTCATTGGATAAGTATTAATGATTACAGCACTACAATTCCCTTTGACATTATTTGGACACGAAGGAATTCTTGTGCGGATGATTTTTTGTGAGTTTTTTAGAGTAGTTAAAAAATAGTTGCTAATGTTTTAGAAGCCACATTTTTTGCATTAAAATACCAATAGAAGCAAAAAAAAAACAAATTTGTTCATTTTCAAGTAGTCTTATTATGTACAAATCTTTTTTCTTATATGTAATATATAGCATTTTTTTCATTTAAAACATAATTTAAAAAAAAAAAATTATGTAATTATTAATTAAAGTAGAAAAAAAAATTATTTTATTTGGTTGCTAATGTATATATATATATATATATATATATATATATATATATATATATATATATATATATATATATATATATATATATATATATATATATATATATATATATATATATATATATATATATATATATATATATATATATATATATATATATATATATAAGTATAAATAGACACACACACAAAAAATATATATATTTATATATAGATACTATAAAGCAAAAGTTCTTGAAACTTCTATGGTGCTGTATTACAAGGTGGTATTTGAGGATAAATCATTTTGCTTTGACCTACCACCAGGTGACATTAAGGTAGGCAAATATTTAATTTTTTTTTTTTGGTGTTTGAGAACTTTCAGACATTGAGCAAACTCTGTATGTTTATACTTATGTCAAATAATGATGCTTTGCAAAAAATTGCAGCTGGGAAAAAAAAAGCCCTTTAACTTTATCCCCCATTGTAGTACATAATTAGAGAACTTTGTAAATTGTCAAATTTGTACATAATTTGGTCTAATTCATCTTAGAAAAGATTAGAGTTGATTTTGTGTACCTAGCTTAATTTTGTGTACATAGCAACCATTTTTTTTAAGATTATTAAATAACAAAAAAAAAATTTCTGGTACCGAGCAAACAATTAGTTTTTTTTATAGTATTTTTCATTTTGATTTCAAATGTTGTTGAAAAAAAAGTTATTCAAAAGTATGTCAACCTGGGTCTCAAAAAAAGCATATTTTCATAGAGATTTCAATGTTATTCTTTGTAATAAAAATAAGTATTTTTTGTATTATTGCTGAAAAAAATTTTGTTAAAGTTTTTTGAAGAGCCTTGAGCATTTTTTTTTACATAATTTTTGTCAATGAGTCTTAAGAAAATATATTTATGTTATACAAAATCTCTATGAAAATACGCTTCTTTTGAGACCCAGGTTGATATACTTTTAAATAACTTTTTTTTCAACAAAGTTAGGGACTTTACCCCAAATACTAATGATTTGAACTCAAATATCTTTACAACTTGGCGTGATGGTGAAAAATGAGTTGCATATTTGAAATCAAATATGAGAAATACTATAAAAAAAACTTATTGTTTGCTCGGCACCCACAAAAAAGGTTTTTGTTGGCCTGTGTAGTTAGCACCTCAAAAATCAGTATACATTAAAGTCATAGTATAAAAAATAAACACTGTTAAGTCTTATATGGTTTTTTGGTAACTTTTTGCTATATTTTAAACTCCTTGCTGCAAAAGTTGCTTATATTTACACATATAAAAATGTATTCACTTGTATTTGTCAAAAAAATTTATGTTGTGAGTAGGCCCTTATACTTTGCTTAATTTCCAGGAAAATTAAAAACTTTCAAATTATTATTATAATTATTATTTTATTAGTTTAAAAATGTTTATCAAATTACTTGTCAAAGGTGCTATGTAGTGTTGTACATAATTTAAAAAAAAAAACTGTAATTATTTAAGGAAAAAAAAGCAATAGTTTAGAAATTTTAACATGTATTTAAATTATATTAGATACTATAAATGAATTGGCAGCTGTAAAACAAAGTACTACTGTAAATAACATATGAAAAATTAAGTTTAAAAAAACATTTATGCAGTAGTATTGTTTTAGTGTTACTGCATTAGTTAAAGCTTTGTGGTTCTGAGTCTTCCAGACCACCTTTATCTGATGATTCATAATTTATTTATTCATAGTTTTTTCTTTTTTAACTGCCTTTTTTACATCAAAACTATGAATGAGTGTTTAGCTAATGAAATAAACCTAATTAAATAAAAGATTAATTTTGTAGCTTGAATGATGAATTTTTAAATACTTCCCAAAAAACAAACCCCTGCAACTTTTTTTCCAAAACAAAACGACCAAAAAAACAAGAATCAAAAAAATGTGTCAAATCTTTCTCTCTCTCTCTTTATGTTACAGACTCTCTATTATATATATATATATATATATATATATATATATATATATATATATATATATATATATATATATATATATATATATATATATATATATATATATATATATATATATATTCTCGGGAAAAGTAATAAAATCGGATCCGTGTATGAGAGATGGAATTTTGGACTTGCCTTTCTCAATGTAGTGTTAAAGATTTACTAAAAGTCTTCAGAACATAATTTCTGAGATATAATACAAGTTTTAGTAGTCTGAATGGATATTTTCAAACACTTTTTATATCAGTTTTTTGCAATGATAAATAGACCTTATTTATCAGAGAGTTGTTGTTGTGGAATAGATGAAAAAAATAGTTATGATTAAAAATAGCAGATGTGTAAGAAGGAGAAATTTAAAAGTGCTAATTTTGGCAGAGAGATAAAAAGCACCAACCTAAGGACCAATATGAAAAGAATCCTTGTGAGCCATTATACTTTGTTTTGGAGCTGTACTCTAATTAAGTGACAATAAAGAAAAAGTGACAAAAAAGAGTTACATAGTAACTACCAGGGCACAAACAAAAACCAATGTGTAGAGTCAAGACGATCCAGCACTCAGCATTCTTGGCAGGAAACAATGTAACACAGGTTTACATCTAAATCAACTTATGCTGTAAAGAAGGGGTGCAAGGCTGTTTAACAGAAATTTTGTGTATAGTTTGCCTAGTAGGTCTTTGGCAAGACAGTGACCAGATGCAGTTTACATATGCCTACGATGAATATTTCTATTGAGACATAATCTTTAGCCTTTACTCAACCAAAAGCTCCATAGAATAAGGTGTATTATGTCAGAGTTAATCTTACCTAGCCATCACTTAGAAAAGTAAATCCTACAAGGTGGTAGGTAGTTTGTAATAGATAGCATGTAAGCGGTATCAAAGGAACATATTTCTTTCCTAGAATTGCTGCTCCGTGAGGTAAACAAAGTTAAAGATGCCTTATTTTCATATGACCTTAGTATTTTCATATAACCTTAGTATTTTCATATGACCTTAGTATTTTCATATGACCTTAGTATTTTCATATAACCTTAGTATTTTCATATGACCTTAGTATTTTCATATGACCTTAGTATTAACAAATTCTTCATATGAATCTTTTATTATTTTTTTTCATATTAACAAAACAGATTGTGATCTATTTTTACTCATTAAATTTTGTTCACAAAATGATTGAAAATATAATGATGTATTCTATTTATGAACTATTTATGATTTTAAAAAGTATATAAAAATTTTATTTATGTTATTAAATTAGCTATTTATATCACAAGCAAGTTTAAAAAGTGTAAAATCTAAAAAAAAAAAATAATCAAAATTTACGAATAACTAATGAAAAATGTTTACTGTTGCAATATATCAATAATATTTATATAATATATGTATGAATGATATATAATTATAAATAGTCTTTATAACTGATTATAAAACTAAAATTTTATGATTGGTTCAGTATAAAAGTAATTTGTATAACTATTTGAAATAGTACAATTATAATTAATTAGTTAAACAATTATTTATTTTTATTTAAATTCAGTCCTTAAATTAGACGGTTTTCTTTAAATAATCTTGCTAAGTTGCTAAGTTTTGTTATCAAATTTAGAGTGTTAATGCTAAAGATCATATCATATTACCTGGTACAGAAGTAGATGTGTTATGGCCTGATTCTGTCACATATCCTGCTGAGGTTATTGGTCATTATCATGAAAGCAATTGTCTAGTAAATTTTGTTTTCTTTGAATTTTTTCAATTTTATTTTTAATTTTTGTGTTTTAGATATAAATATGTAGAGAGGTTGTTATGATGAAGTGGTTGTCAAGGCTGTTATAGTAGTTGTAGAAAACTACTTAACATTGAGGTAGACAAAAAAAAAAATTTCTTCAAAAAATCGTGACAGCCGTAGTCATAACTTAAGACATTCGGCTCGCAACGAATGCATTTACTGTAGTTTGCCAACTGCTGCTATGGCTATCTGGCAAGCACCCATTTTGATTTTTTGTTTTAAATGTGTTGCAGAAGGTTACTGAAGAGGCGAATAAAAAGTTACCATTGTCCTTTTTTTAAAATGAATTGTAATTATTATAGGTTTCTTTTGAAGATGGATCTGTTTTAAATATAAAAAGAAATGATCTTTACGCCATTAATGAAGAGCTACCCACGAAAGTAAAGAAAAAATTGGTTAGTAATAAGTTAAATCCTTTTGTAGATGATGTACAAACGGGTTTAACTTTTTTTTTTTTTTTTTTAATTTTTTTTTTTTTTTTTGTGGGGTGACTTCTTAGCAATTATTTTGATACACCATATCAATTATTTTTTATACTCCTTATCAAAAATAAAATAAAAAAATTAAATTTGTGTTGGTGTATTAATTTGAGTTGGTTTTGGTGTCATAATCTTAAATAAAAAGCCTTTGTATTTTTCAAATTTTGTTTAAAAATACTATTAGTGTCTTTTTTATTACATTGTGTTACGTTTTAATTATAGTCACACGCGTCAGAGACATTAAACAAGTTTAATCACTCTAGCCCTTTACAAATCGGAACAAAACGACTACGCAAAGGATCGCAATTTTTAAGCAACACCAAGTTTCATTTATAATTTTGATTTACTAGTTATTTTTTATTTACTTGCGAGATATCCCGTTCACTCTAACAATAAGACATGTTTTTTCTTAGACGCGTTTTCTATTTTTAATGTTATAAACTGTATAAAAACACTAACATCATATAACGAGGTTGCTTTATATTAATACAAATTTTATATTTAAAATAACTTCGCAATATTGTTTTGTTGTTTGCAGTATGAACGGGGGTAATAATAAAAATTTCTTATTTTTAGTTAAAAGGTTTCTTTTCGCTTATAAGATAAATTTTATCATTTAGCTAGTTAGATATATGCTAATGTACGCTATTTTGCATCGTACACGTTTTATCGCTTTGTTTATCATAACGCAAAAAATAGCAGAAATGGTACTTGAGTATTCTAATTTTGAAATCATGTTCTCTTTTGAAAATTCTTTTTTGAAATAATGTTCTCTATAGCAATTACTGTTTTGAAAACTATCTGGTGAAAAGTGTAGATAGTTTTTTTTTCTTTTTTTTTTTTTTTTTTTTAATATAAAAAAACGTTTAGGCTTGGAAGCAGTGCTTGAAAATTTATTAGTATTGCTTAATTCATGGTTTTTTGTAAAGTTTTAATGTCATTAAAAGCGCTTTGTATATATTTGCTGTGAATAGGCGCGGATTTTATTTAAAAAAGTTATATACCTTACTTGCTTTATTAATAGCATTTAAAATAGTTGTATTATCTTATTTGCTTGTTAACAACTTTTAAATTTTTTTAATGTTATCATAGTATCAAATGTTGTGTTTTTAAATGTAAAAATTAATTTATACCATAAATATTTAACCATGCCATAAACAGTTTGTAAATTTTGTAAAAGAAACCCTAGTTCGTAGATCCCTTAATAAATAATTTAAGTAATAAAAAATAAATTTTACTCTATTTTCTTTTTATTACTCGACCTTACTGGTCGAGTAATAAATAGAATATATGAATATATGCAGTATTGGACAAAACAAGTGCAACCAAATAATGCTAATTTAGTTCCTTTATATAAAAGTGCTGCATTTTTTCAATTTAGAGAAATAACTATGTAACTGTTTAGAGACAACGTTCTTCAAGTTTTATTCGACACAAAGTTCATTATTTGTAAACGAAAATTAATAAATTAATCAAAAGTATTAAAAAAAGTTGATTTCTTTCTGAACAAAACAAGTGCAACTCCACAAAATGTTAACCAAGCTGTATTTCGCTATCAATATTTCGTCGCAAATCCTTTGTTGTCGATCACAGCCTTTCATCTTTGAGGCATAGATTCGATCAGGTGATCAATGAAACTTTGTGGAATCGCTGCCTAGGCCTTTTGGATTTGTTCAAACAGTTAATCCTTATTACGAACACTTCACGATTAATTCTGCAGTTGACGATCTCCCACAGGTTCTTGATAGGGTTGAGATTCGGATATTGAGGCAGCCAATCCATCACCAATAGGTGGTTGTCTTGAAACCAGTGTTTGACGACTTTTGCAATGTGTTTCGGATTGTTGTCTTTCTGAAAAACCCATTTTATTGGCATATTCCATTCAGCATGAGGTAACATAACATCTTTCAGGATATTTTTATACATGAAACGGTCCATTATTCCATCGTTTTGATGTATTGGACCTAAACCGTTAGTAGAAAAACACCCCCAGACCATTACATTGCCTCCACCATGCTTTACAGTCTTATGGCAGTAACGTAAATCGAGGCGTTTTCCAGCCGGTCAACGTACACGGCAAATGCCATCGCTCCCAATAATGTTGAACTTCGATTCATCACTGAACAGGACAGTTCGTCATTTCTGCACATTCCAGTCAATATGAGATGTAGCAAACAGGAGTCTTTTCTCCTGGTTCTTTAGTGAAATCAAAATGGGGGTTTTAAGGTAAATTTTTGCAAATATTTTTTTTAATATAATATTATATATAATATATATATATATATATATATATATATATATATATATATATATATATATATATATATATATATGTATATTATATATAATATATATATTAATATATATATATATATATATATATATATATATATATATATATATATATATATATATATATATATATATATAATTAATATATATATATTATATATATATATATATATATATATATTATTTTGTATTATTGTTACGTTAATATTGCGGTTAACATGTACAAATCTTATTAATAAATATATCAAACTCATATATAAATATGTAGGGGGAGCTGTGAATTCTTAAAAGGTATCAACTGATTCCTAAAGAAAAACTAAAATTCACCCGAATATCCAATTATATTCCTCAAAAAACCGACTATAACTTGAAAATCACTTTCTAAGGTGAGATGGTGCCACGCAAACCCATAAATTTGCCTCTGTATTTATATATAAATATATAGTATATAAGAAAATATTATATAGCAAAGCAAGCCGAGTTTTTCTGTGATTGATACTTTTTTTGAAATTAATGATGTACTCCATTATGTCGGTACTGTTTGAACAACTCAAAGACATATCTTATTTTTTGAAAAAGCTTTTAAATATAAAGTGGAAAATTAAATAGTTTTCTTTTAGTTAATAAGCAAAAACTGATTGATATCGATCATACACGAGTGGTTCAGGAAATGTCTAAACAATTTTCGGCGTTTTTGATTGGCCCTATTTTCAGTTGAAGAAGTAGGTAATAATACTTTAAAACTATTCAATAGTCACATTTCTTCTTCATATATAAAGTTGACGGCTGACCTTTTTCATTGTCACTTAAATTTTAACTAATAGTTTGATAATTTTATTTTTTAGGGGATTACAATTAGATTTCAAGATAAGCATTTCTGTATATCTCAGCATAGTCTTGAAAATGACAATTTAAAAAAAAAGCTGCAAGAAATTAGATTTCAACCTCTATTCATGCAGAACTAGATTTATGGGATGCTCTTTGAAAATCCAATCGAATCCCCATTTAGTATATTTAAATATTAAACTTTTTAGATATGACTGGTTTCGCCAACATTTATGAAGTATTTCTTATTGTAGATATCTAAAACAACATTACATGGATGCTATATAAAGATTAAAAATAATGTCACTTACTTTTTTCAGTGCTTGCCTAAGCAATATTTGCATAATTAATATAGCTATGAATGAATGCATAATAAAGTTGGGATAAAACTTTTTTATTTATATAGATTCTGGCCTTATAAAGACTTCCAATATTTTTTGAAACTTTAGTACCAACATAATCAATATGTTGCTTCCATGTGATGTTCTCATCAAGGAAAACGCCTAAATATTTTGTGATACAATCTCTTTTTATTTCAATTTGGTCAATAAAAATATCAGGTAGAGTTGGGGGTAAATAACTTTTTTAGTTATTGAATGAAAAAGAATCCATTTTGTTTTTTTTATATTTAGGGTAAGTTTATTGCATTTGAACCAGCTAGAAATCATTTTGAGTTCTTCATTCATAGTAGTGAAGAGTTTATTAATATTGTTATCAAATAAAAATAAATTAGTATCATCCGCAAACCTAATACTTAAAAGATTACAAGCTTTATGCAAATCATTAATGTATATTAAAAAAAGAAGTCGCCCCAAAATTGATCCTTGTGGAACACCACATGAAATATCTAAAACTTTTTTTTGATAAGGATCGTTAAAAGAAACAAATTGTTTTCGGTTTGTTAAAAAACTTTTAAAGCATTTCAAAATTACACCATCCACCACTAACACCATCACTCTACATCTTACAATTACGCCATCCACTCCATAATATCCAAGTTTATAATTCAAAATGCTATGATTTATTGTATCAAATGCTTTTGATAAATCCAAAAAAATACCTAAAGTGAATTGTGAAGTTTTGAAAGAGTTAGAGATTTCACGCACAAATTGAATGATTGCAGGCTCTGTATAACTATTTTTTTTAAATCCAAACTGATTTTTTTAATAAAAAATTCTTCTCCTTAAAATAAGTATATAATCTATTGTAAATAATTTTTTCTAAGATTTTTGAAAATGTTGATAAAATAGAAATAGATCGGTAGTTACATACATTAGTCTCCTTCTTTGTATATTGGGATTATTTTAGCTATTTTCAGCTTATCAGGAAAAACTCCTTGTTGTATTGATGCTCTGAAAACTTTAAAAATAATATCTTTTAATTGTTCAAAGCATTCTAAGACTATGTTTCCATTTATTTCATCAGCTCCAGGGGCTTTGTTTTTTTTAATAGATTTAAACGACACTTGAAACTTCTCAAATGATACCTCAGAAGATAAATTATTGGAGCAAATGCAATCATCCATCGGTGTTATAAAGTTATTGAACACAACTTGGGTATTAGAAATTTTATTTGCTAGTTTGGAACTGATATCAATAAATAATTTGTTAAACTCATGAGCTATTAATCTAGGTTCAAAAACATCTTTGTTATCCACTCTAATTACCTGCGGTAGGAAACCTGAGCAAGTTTTTTGTTTTCCACCTATTTCTCTTAATATTTTCCAAGTACGTTTAGAGTCGTTCTTAACATTTTCAATTAATTTTAGTAGTAATTCTTTTTTAAGTTT